AGGGCTTGAAGTAGCTGCCTGCCAATCAAAAATGGCAGGCCAAATTTTAGGCCTGGCAGGCAAAAATAATAATAAGAAGGCTATATATATTTAGTAAAATCCAACTAGTGGTCTATTATCAATGCTGAGTTCTGATTAGTTGAGCTACTACTAGGCTATATGTTATAGCCCACCAGTAGCAAAAAGCACCGGCTTTGAAAACCAAAATAATGGCCACTGAATTGCATTTTGCTAGCCAAAGTTGTTTTGTCTGGATATTTTTGAACAACTAGTTGGATTTTACTAAAACGGTTATTCCCCTCGCCTTCATGGGCTTGAGGAATAATGGCCTTATATCTCTGAACCATGGTCTTATCAGTTACTCAGTAGGTCTGATCAGAAAGTAAACTATTGTACTATTAGCATGCCCTATTGATACAATCCATGCAGCTTCTTTTGAGCCAGGAAATCGGTGGCGAATATACTAAATAGGGGGAGGGACAGGAGAGTCCAAACCTCCTGCCTCCCGTCCCATTTTCCTTGGCTTCCTCCCTTTAATGCCATTTTTGAGTGGTTTACTTTTTTTCATTATTTTTTTCACCTACTTTAGGGGAGCCACTTTTCCATCCATGCTAAAAACACCATCGGTGACTATCAATTTTAGACGAGCTCCTTCAGCTTCTTTGAGCTTTTCTTCAAGGTCTAATGAAGGATACAATGAATATAACACACTGGTAAATCAAGCAACTCATACTTGGTCTGGTGATTCAAAAACAAACAAGAACTACGTCTGTAGAAATGGGCAGGCAAGAAGCTTTTAAAGAGGTGAGAACAAGAGCCTGAGAGAGACATAATCTTGCAAGAATTTTTCCCACTTCTGCTATAATAGTTATTTATACAAAGTAACAACAGCTTAATTAAGGTTGGTGAAAAAACTGCACATTCAAAAAAGAATTGTGGCTAGGAAAATGGTCTGAAATGTGAAGAAACATGCACGACTACTTTGGACGACTTTAAATCAATTATTGATTTGGAATCTGATGGCAACAGGTCTCTCATAAATGGTGACTTGTTAGTAGCTAGGACCAGATTGTATACTGTTGGTTGCATTTAAGCGTGGACACAAAAGATAAAAAAAAATGTTCTAATAGGGTGGCAGCCGTTAAAGCAAACTGTCGTGCCAAAGGTAAGTTGTTTATATGTTTCTGACTATCAGCGCCTTCGGCTCATATTTCATTTTTTGCAACTTTCAGGCATATGTCTTGTTCAGAAACAGCACAATTGCCTCCAGTAATTATCATTGATGTCTAAAAATTCTTGCAAAGAATATTTTGTTGAGCAAAAACAAAGCAAGTTGACAACAGCCCCATACTAAAAACTTTGAATGTTTGGCAGTAAAACATGTCATGTTTGGACCCGATTACAACATTTTTTTTCCTTATGTGTGCATGTACATGCAGCCAACGGTATATCTAGTAAAAATAATTTGGGCAGGAGCAAACTTTCAGTTGCAAACTTTAGATTGTTTTAAAATTTGTGTTCTTAGAAGATCTTTTAACAGATTGAGTCAATTGAGTATTGCCTTTCCTGGGACGAGACTTAACATATACTGATATTATGCCACACACAACTTTATATAGACATGCACAATAACACTTTTCCAGCCATTCTTGTCAGCTACCTGCCATATCCTTATTCTTGTATTTGAATTTCTTGGCTTTACAGAGGCGTATTCCATCAATAATAGAGGCATGATTAAGTTCATCACTCAAGACAGCATCATCTGGACCTAATAGAACCTCAAATACACCAGCATTTGCATCAAAACAACAGGCATAGAGTATTGCATCCTCACGCTCATGAAATCTTGATATCTTTTCCTCAAGTTCTTTGTGAATATCCTGCGGCAAAAAATAAAATGCTCAATGGAGATTCCATTCCACCCCTTTGTTCATTTTTGTGACATGATGTACAGATGAGTAATTTCACATCCCTCAGACACGTTTTTCCCCCTTTAACTTTAAATATGAGGCAATTTGTGTTATATAATGTGTTTTTGTTTTAAAATGGGAAGTTCTCTCTGCATATTCTTGTACATTTAATTACTAAAGTATAGTTTTATACAGTGTGTTAATGTCTTATAAATTTCTTGCTTCTATTAATTATTGGCTGTTTCAAGGTCAAGTGAAAGAAACTTTATTCAACTGTATTCCCGGAAGGCAATAATATTGATGAATTAATACACCATGCACAGGATATAATTTTAAATTCACTTTTGGGGAATCACAAAAGTGACAGAAATTTTGGTCATATGCAGTCCACATTGTGAGTTGCCACCTCTATTCATAGCAGGCACCTCCAGCAAGAAAATACTTTTATAAAAACTGAATGAAAACTGACAAAAAAAACCAACGGGATCTAAAAAACTGGCTTTGGCAATGTTGGGCAAATTTTGTAATGAATTAGAGTCACCAACAAATGATTTTGTGCCATGACAAAAAAAAAACTCCACTTAAATGTCTCATCCCTTAGTAAACAGTTTTCTTTTTCCTAATCTTAATGATTTCCCCAATGAACATTAAGAATCTTGGGAAAACAAAACATTTCCCTTGATGGGAGGAGGCATTGTTTTTTTTTTTCAAGTGTATACTTTTAGCTTAATGCAGTGTTAGGCTACCAGTAATTAAAGAAAACACTACCTGTGTTCCACATATGAACCGTACAGAGCTCAGTCCATTACCATATTTTTCCAATGCATTTTTGGCAGCTTCAATAACTTCTGGGTGGGACTAAAACAAGTTTTAAAAATGTTGAAACCAAAAGTTTGATAGCAACGTCACAACTATTTTTAATGGCTGTACTGCATTTCCTTGAAAAAGTTTGTCCTTGAGTCAGAGGGGTACTTATTTAAAATTAATACAAATTAGTGCAAAAGAAGCTCATTTATGTACTAAAGCCTAAAGGGAAAGCTCAGACACTTGGGGAACATTATTCCACATTCTAATACGCTGAATCTAATAACTGGAACTGCATTAAAAGGAGAGAAAACTGTTTTCTAGCTGGTGAGGAAAGTATTGAAGCTAATTTGGTCATACATTAAATGTAAAGGAAGAGGCTTTCCTAATAATATCCTTACTCTATTTAAGAAAGTGAGGAGGAGGGGAGGGTACTTATTCAAAAGGAGTGCTAATTTGCTTTCAGACCCTTCCTGCATTCCTAACAATAAAGGTACCAACTCAACACATGGTTGACAAAATACCGTGTTTTATACAAACTTATTTGTCCACCCGGGCCTCCAATTTGTTTCAATATATAGGCTCACCGCATATGAAGGAAAAGCTCTATTATTATAACTGAGGAGGAACACATTTTTTCCTCAAAAAAACTCTGTTTGTTTACTATTATTTTTTTAACTCACCGACAGTCCCAGATAGTTGTTGGCACAGAAGTTAAGTAGCTTATCATTCCTTCCTATAACTCCAATCTCTGAAGCTTGTCTGGTGAAAATGACTCTTTCATCTTTCCATGTACCAGCCTCTTTTATGTCATTGATTTGAGCATCCAGGATGTTACACAAAGCTGCCTGTGCCTTACTTGCATTACGAACAGAGACATGAACTCCTGGACATCTTGAGAGAAGTGATTTGGTGGCTTTCAAAATGGAAATTAAACAGACTTCTATTAACTTTTTGTCTTGAATACAAATGGTGTTTTTTGTTCAATAATTGAACAAAATATAACTTTTATTTTGAATGAATCAATATTTAGATTCAATTTAAAAACACAAATTTTATAAATTTTATGAACAATCACGATATGGGATAAGGACAGTAAAAACATTTGCAGGCTTTTACAAGGTATAGTCCTCCATTTCTTACTAATTATGTCATAAGCCTCAAGTGAGGATTGATATTCAACAAGACAATAAGATTTTCAATCATAAAAATTGCCTTGTAAATGGGTAAATGCTCCTACAATAATCAATATAAACCTGCTGCCTTTTCCTAAGTCAAATGCATGTGCATGATTTTCATATCCACATTTCCTGAAAAAATCTGATGAATTCTGACAGTGAGTGCCAGACATTCTGCTGACTTGCAATATTCAAAAGGTTTTCATCCTTATCAATCAAGCTTGGTCAATAAGGGATTCAATATGCAGCAAGACTGGGACTCTTTTTCTTTTCACAATTGCATCGACGATCATTTCTTCAGTTTCACTCTTTTTCTTGTTGCAATAAAGTGAGCAAACAAGAAAGGCTCATCTTATCCATCAAGTAGCTGATGAAAGCACAGGAATTGCTTTATTTTGCCCACTTGTAACTTTTCATAATATACGTTGTGGTTCAGTCACATCCTTGGTTTGAATTTTATTTTCCTTTGTTTTTGGCATGGTAATGCGTGTGAGATTAAAATAAAGGAAAATAAATTTTGAACCAAGGATAAAATTGCACTTTTACGTACACATATTTATTCATAACAAAGGCCACCTGTAAGCACCCGCCCACCACACACCTACTGAATTACGTCACAATATTCGTCTGTCTCCTCGTTTTCGAATGGTCAAATGCCACATCTAGTTATATAACTGGGTTACTAAGACAAGTAAATGACTTGAGAAACCTTTGCCATACGAAGAGGCCTAAATTTTTGTTCCCACGTGAAAAATGGCCAGTCTGTTTCGCGTTCACGTGAACAAATTATCATTTTGTGATCGAAAAAGATGAAACCTTAATTACGCACCTGACACCGATATACAAGGTAGGGAGGTCTTCAGCGCAGCCATTTTGCAGTCATAAATGTAAATCGTAGTCAAGAATATTATAATTCGTGAAGTCAACCCTGCGAAAATGACGATTATCACGATCACAATTTCCGCGACTCTCGACTGAGAGTACTGTGACTTGATGTTATTCTTTCACGATTGTAGTCAGCGGTATGCTTCAAAGCAATATTGCGTGGATGTATCGATAAATGTACTATAGCACAATGACACTTCGTTTCAGGGTACATGAATATAGAAAAAAAAATCGTAGATGACACGTCGTTCAAAAATACATCAAGGGATTTTTCGTTTTACCACATAATTCTTGCATTTTTGTCGCTATGAGACGAGCCCATAGTGGTATGTGAATTCAGTTAAACTTTCAACGTTATGTTTACCTTATTTTAGCATTTTATGTATTATTCTTTTTCGCTTCAGCTTCTGATTATCAAGGAAACATGAGCCAACGAACAGACCATCAAATGCTTGAAGAGGAAAACGATCGAATGGTCGACCATTTGTCAAGCAAAGTTCAGGCACTTAAATCGGTATCACAGAAAAATTACTTTATACAAGCTTGCGTACGCTTTTATATTTATTAGTACAAATTATGATTATGTTTCAGTTGCTGTCTCAGCAGCTGAATTATCATCATTCTTCATTTTTTGTAACTTGTACAAGACTCTCTAATTTCAAGATTTCTTATTTCAGGAAATAAGTTTAAAACAAATCATAGAATAAGATTTAGTTCTCGAAAATTCAAACAGCCTGTTTTTTGTTTACAGAAAAATGAGTTCTTATCCTATGGTTTGTTCTAAATTTTTGGCGTAGAATAAGAAAACTTTTTCTTAAATTGAGAGATTCAGAGCAAGCTAGAATTTAGAGTGAGAATTAAAAAAGATGTGTCTCTCTCCTAATCAACGTGAAGTAGTCTAGCTCATTCTGATTTGATCATGAATTCTCCTGACACCAGCACTGTTAGATCAATCTCGAGTTTAGAGCTGTGACAAAAAAGGAAATGCCCCAAAGATAAAATGATTAGTCAATTTCTCCTAGTAACTAAAGAAATGTATAGAAAATGGTGTGCAGATTTTATACTTGTTTATAATGGGTGATATTATTATTAATTTAATGAAAACAGTAATTACCGTTAAAGGATGGAAGTAAACAAAAGTAATTGTCTGTTCGTTCACATCCATGGCAGGATTAGCTCAGTCAGTAGAGTGGTGGACTGCAGAGTGAGAGGTCGCAGGTTCGATTCCCAGGGCTGGACCAATACTTGGGGTGTTAAAATAACTGAGAAGTGAAGGTACCTCCTTTGGCCTTCAAACAGCTTGAGCTTTACATGGCTCAGATGATAACGTAATGGCAGTCCCGTCTCCAGTTGGAGATGTAGAAATAGTGTCCCCCAGTACTTTCGTGCTAAATACATTGACACTCAAATAAAGTGTATTTTATTTGTTTTTTTATTCGTGAATTTTACTTCAATAACGTATGTGTCAGTGTATAATATTGCTGGTTTGTCTTGTTTTCTATCTTGCAGCTTACAATAGACATTGGACATGAAGTAAAATATCAGAACAAAATGCTTGGCGAAATGGTAAGCTTGGCTTTTTCAGTAACTGGCAAATTTGTGTTACACTGTAGATACAGTGTAGTATTCTCTGTTATCATGCTTACAACCTGACTCTCTAGAGCTGAAATGGTTCTCAAATTTTAAGAATGCAATGTATTCATTTTCTGCTGTCATGTGGAACCTAAATCCATACAGAAGTTCCAAGGCATAGGATCCAAGAAGGGTAATCTTGTCGATCTTGTGTAACTTCCGTAGATATGATTTTTTGTGTTGTTGAAATGGAACCTATGGCTTTAGTTGTGTGTACTTAAGAGAGGTCAGTTTGAGTGGAAAGTTAATGGAAATTGAAGTATGTAAAGAGCAGCTGCGAACAAAGTCTTGGGGACGGGAGAGCACTATGTCACTCAGGCATGAACATATGTGGAGTAGGCTGCAGAGAGACTGGGTATGAAAATTTCCAACCTGTTCTTACCATGGGCTGCCTGTGGTAAATTCTGATACCGTCAAATTCTGAAAATAAGCCCCGGGGCTTATACTTTTCAAAGGCCCTTTTTTGAGGGTCTTAGTTTTGGAGAGGCTTATACTTGGAGGGGCTTATGTATGGAGGGGAATTTGCATTTCAAAATCGATTGGGCTAGTTTCTGATCTAAGGCGCGCCTCTTGATGCTGCGTAAGGGCCACCATCCTTCACTCTATTCAGCATTTCTGCTCAAGGTCTTTCAGGTGGCTTCTTTTCTATTATTTTCTTTTCAATAACTAATGGGACAAGATCACCATGCTGTAGGGTATGATCAAGCCAGACTCTCTCTCTTCTGTTGATAACAGATATGATGGCCCTCTCCACACCAACATGCCTCAATACTTCTTCATCACGGACCTTGTCAGACAAATAAATGTTTAAAAACTTCCTCCAAAGCCACTTCACACAGCTCTCCATCCTTTCGCACATCCTCTTTCTTGAAGGTCTACGATTGGCTTCCATACGGAACAGTCCTCCATATGACAGTCTTTATAATTCTTTTCTTTAGGCAAAGGCTGAGGGCTTTTGCCAGCAGTTCTTTTCTTTTAGTAAATACATGTAACAGGCATGCACAGTTGTTATTTCACTCGGTTCTTCATTACAATAGTTTGGTCAGTTCATGATCTCTTGTTAGTGTGAGAGCAGGTGTAACAATAGCTTGTGATACAGATGGGCTCCTTATTTCAATGAATGGTTTTCCTTCATCGCAGAGCACTCAGTTATGTACCACATATTGGATATTTCCTGTCAAATTATTTCCTGCTAACTGGTAATTGTTTTTTGGAGGCCCTGACACTCAAAAATGGAAAAAAAAACAACCTTTGGCCTTGGCTGGAGGTTGGCTTGTTGTTGGGTGGTGGCTTGTGGTTGACTTGGGCTCAAGTTTGGCTCCTGAAAATATTCTCTTTTGAGAGTGATTTTTGAAAACCTTAGTGGAAAGTGGAAAAGTATAGACTTGGCAGTGGACAACTTGCCTCCCACAAAGACATTCTTTTGGCTCGTCATGCAATCCTCCTCACGAGACAAACCCATAAGAATATCTGTGTGGGAGGGAGGCTAGTGTACAACTTGAAGAACTGTGATCGGGATGGGTGTTACACCTGAGACTGTCCATATGGTCATGTGATGCTGTTCAACAGAGTCCTGAAGTGTGACGTCATAAAAAATTAAATTTGTGAAATTATGGGATTTGTTGGAATATTTTGAAAGAACAACATCCAAAAGGCCTACTTGCCAAAAACTAGCATTTTGGCGAAAATCATCTTTGAGATATTAGTCCAGTTATGCTCTGATGACTCCACACAAACCCTTCTAAATTTGACTTGGTTCATAGGTTAAGAACATAGGCAGGAGTTGAGTATACATTAGTCAGGTTGAAGGAATATTTGAGACACATTTACGGTAATTTGTTGGGTCTGTTGGGGGCTCAGAACAGGGATATTGACCCTACTTTGCAGACATCACAAACCAGGGTTAAATTAAGTCTGTAATGCAGTCTAAGTCTTACCTTGTTTTGTTGTGTTGCATCATGTTGATGTTCTGTAAAGCCAATGTTAATTCAAAGTATCAGCCTTCCTAGTATGTATGTTATCTCTAATTACTGAACTCACTTTAGGATCACACATTCAGTTGTAACACTGATGAAGGGCCAGGCCCGAAACGTTTGGATAGGAACTGCATCTGCAACACAGCACTTTTGTTCATCATTACTTATTATTGAACATTCAGTTGTCAGCCTGATAACTTGACGTTTTTCTCCCAATGTGTTGTAGGACACAGATTTTGATTCTGGAGGCTCACTGTTATCAGCAACAATGGGAAGATTAACAGCATTGACCAAGAAAGGCCATCACAGGGTTATGCTCTATTTGATTCTCTTTTGTTTGTTTGTTTTCTTTGTTGCATGGTACATTATTAAGAGAAGGTGAAGAAATTAAACGGATAAACAATTATATAATATACTTAACTATAAAAAAATCAAATTGTAAATAAATTTTGTCTATTCTTATACAGTTTTCATGCCTCTTTTCTTCAATAAAATTGTTTTGTTTGGTTCTTATACACAGTCCTTGAGTCGCTACACTTCCCGGGTCCAAATCGTCTGTGTTTTTTTAGGTATGAATCAGTTCTTGATGATAAGTTTCACGGTAAAGATTGTCAGTGAACACATTATGACGCTCCCTTGTTGTTTAGTGATGACTACATTTCAAGTTGTTTTTTCACAGAGAACGTGAACAAAAAGATGATAAATCTGATAAATCTTATTGTAATTACCTAAACTCGGATGCTGTTCCCTCCTTTCAGCTCCCAACTAATTACATAACTGAACGAGTTGGAATAATCGTGACGAAGTTTGAAAGGACGCGACAAGACTTTCGAAAAAGTCCTTCGTCCTATTTGATGTGGCTCGTGGCTAGCTCGGACGCTTTGCGGCTTACAAAGCTTGCTCTGCTCGCTCTCTGCTATGAAAATGAAACTCGTGAGCTCGTTTTTTGGCAAGTCTTTAATAGGACGCGACATGAGTAAGTTTTTAAGAGACGTCAGTGTTCATTGGCGTCACCCACTGTTCTCGGATCGTAAGCTCTCTTATAATTTCCCGAGATAGATTTAGATAATGTCCTAGAAGAGAAAAAAGTGTCTGTAATTGTCCGTTGTAGCCTTTGGTAGGCTAAAATCATAGATAAACTATTATTCCACGTTAGCCAGTTAGACTAGTGTCTAATCCTAAGTTACTTACCATTTAGTATAGTACATGTAAAATAATCACAAAACCCAAATCATTGATACACTGAAATGTCAGCAACAGGGGTCAGTAACACAGTCGTGACGAACCGAAGGGGTTCAGTTGCCCAGTAAGCCGCGCTTTCTTTGCATCGTTTCTATCATGTTTAAAAATATTTGTTTTAAACTCCAAGGTAGGCTTAACTGGAATTTATATACTTGCTTCTTGCTCTTTAGTTTTGTACTTGTTCTGCAGGGCTATTTTTTTAAAAATTTGCCGCCCCCCTCCCCGGTTAATTCTCCACACTGACCAGCTGGCTGGCTGGCTGGCTGGTATTGACCACATTTGGAAGACGTTCCTTTTCAAGGTGTTCAAGGGAAATATAATAGTGATTGCCGTTAATCGTAAACTAGGGACGGGGAAACAGGGATCACTGACATCGCGCAAAGACAACGGCCCGATGGCTCAGCTGTGTTGGCGAAAAAATGGCAAAAGATTTCACAAGAGAAAGAGGTCGAAGAGACTGAAGAGAGAGGCCCCTAGCCGTGAAGAAGGTTGGCGAAGATGAAATAGCTTCAAAACACAACTGCTTTTTGGAGAATATCTGCAACCAAAAACATATTGTTCATTTCTTGACATCCTCATCTAATGCAGCTGTATCTAATGATGCTGTACGATACAGCTTGTCTCTGACTGGCAGAAAGAAGCGGGCTTGAAAAGGTTAAGGTGGCTCGATCCAGTATTTTTGTCGGCATACCTTTCACCTTCGGACCTCTTATACGTCAACAGCTTGGTCTTTGTTTTTGTCTTGTTATGGCTTTTTTCGTGAAATTAGCCTTTCAAAATGCAAACTAAGAGCTCAGCATTGTGTTTTACCCTTATGCACATACTTTCCTGTTTTTCGAAATCGCGCACGTCTACCTGCCTCTAGCGGTTTGAAGAATGTACAAGGGACACAATCTAAAATATGAGCGGCAAAACTTTCCAGAAACATCCAGGAACTAGCAAATTTACTTGCATAAAATCCAGTATTCAATTAACGTAGAAATTCCACAATATCTCGAAATTCCTCTGACAAATTTTTGTGAAACTTGGCACAGCAGAAGACAAGCACTTTGTGGTAACGTAGATTATTTTTTTGAGAAAATGCAAATAAGGGCTGAAATTCGATAAAAGAGCTAAAACCATTGTGACGTCATTGTCGTGATATTCATTCCGACTGCGAAAAAAATTAACGTAATAAAATTCAGTTTATGTGTGTGTTACTTACAATGTGTTAACAATAAAGACTAAGCTGTTTCTGTATAAAAGGTCTAAAGGTGAAAGGTATGTGAAAAGGTCGAGCCACCTTAAGCCGGTAAATATAAATTTCGGCGATATTTTTTTGCATTTAGGTTCAAAAAGTAGTGACGGAGGGTTTCTTTCTTCGTCCATTATTTTATTCTAGCGTTTTGCGTCAATTTTAACCCTGATTAGTTTCTATGGATAACTACCTATTTTTAACACTTTTGCTATTTTTATGACGAATCTGACAATTGCGCGTTCTTGTTTGTTCTTTTTCTATTTTTTGTAGTCGCTGGCTTCCTCAAGTCAAAAAGATTACCATTTAGTAGTGACATACCTAAAAGGTCATCACGGCTTTTCATGGCAAATTTTGTTTCTGAAGTGTTTGGTCGTGATCAATCGTTTGATCCTATTTTGATGTTTACGTAAAAGTTTAAGACTGTTAACGTCTTTTTAATACCCCCTATTAGTCGCCATGGGTACATATGTAATCAAAAGACAATCCTGTTTAATCTTAACATTTCTATGACTACTGCTGCTTCAGACCTCTGAGGAACCTGTTTAAAGCTGCGTTTGGCCACACAAAAGCGACAGCTAGCCCCTGCCAGCACGATAAACTCTTGATTCCTGAAGCTGCTTTTGCAACACAAAGTGATCAACTTGAAAATGGCTACAGGCTGTCTTTCACTCTTCGGCAGAAGGAAGAGCAGATCTAAACAGAAAAGGAAGCAAGATAACCTCACATTATCCCTCGAAGTAAGAGAGCCACTAAGCCCAGCTTCAGAGACAAAGAATTACAACAGGCTTGAACTTTCACCGCCTGGCACAGTTTTTACTTTCGACAATTTCAACGTGATGGCAAACTGCTCTTCTATTCAGAGAAAAGCTCTAAAGGAGATGGAACCAGGCAGTCCTTCCCCACGGATACTTCTTCCTATTATAGTGGTTTTCTCGGACCAAAGCCATGAAAACGAACAGTAACTCAGAGATCATAGAAGAGGATCTAAAGAGCACTGAAAAATTATGTAATCAACCATTATTTCGAGACTACGAAAAATCACTGCTACATAGACACAGGGACAAAAATTGAGTTAGAGACTGATTTCAAAGTAGGATGAACAGCTGTCGTTTTTTATTGCACCCGTCAATGCTGATACCTCAATTACATAACTTATGATTGATTAAGAAAGGCTATTACAGTGTTATGCTCTATTTGATTATCTTTTTTTTGTGTGTGTGTGTTTTCTTCTTACATGTTTTGAATAAATTCAAAGGAGAAAAAATTATGTAATGTAATGACATGTTATAAATCAAATTGCCAATAAATTTTTTCTATTGTTGTCTAATTTATGTGCCACTCAGTCTCTTCAATTAATTTTTTGTTTTTAAATATACTTTAATACAGGTATCCCTCTTGGGGCCACCTATTTAGGCTCTTTAATCGTCAAATATCAGTTCAATATCCATATACAAATTCACTAGACTGATCTAAAAAATTTTTTTAAACAATTAGTTGTGAGAATCAAGATCAAGGAATGCTTCCTCTGGCGGTAATTTCATTAATACTCGTAAGCTTTCCTTATGATTATGTACTGATATTGTCAGGAAAGGAGAACATTGATGTTGATCACATGAATCAGTCCACTCCCGGATGATGATCAAACAAATAACGGAAACATTCCCGCTAAGCAGCGTGGGATATATCTTTGAAAGGTAAGTAAACGAACTGTTCATTAAGAAGTAAAGTATGAACAAAAATGCTGTGTTTCATATGGAGATGCTTTCAAAACGTTTCGGTCCTCCATCAGCGCAATTACAAGTACGTTAGAACCGGTGCTGGATGGCAAGTTTCACGGTAAAGCTTAAGATTAAGCTTAAGCTTAAGCTTCATTTGGAAGACGTTGCTTTTTTTTTATTTCACATGCAAAATAAAATAGTGATTGACGTTAATAAAAAAACTAGTAGACTGAAACAAGCTTTACGTAAGTGTAAGTATTGCGTAACGGAGGGCGAAGAGGCGAGGAAGGTAGCTTGAATTTCAGACATTCCTTCGAGTCTGCGCATACCGTACTGTCAATGGCTGAAATTCAGGCTGGCGAGGTACGTAGGTGAATATTTTAAGATTGTTACGTCAAGTGTAATATCCCCTCAGTTTTAGTTGTCATGGTTACATAAATGACTTCTCAACTGATAATCCTCTTTTATTAATTTCTATGACTACTGTTGCGTCACACACCTGATCGGTCTTTTTGATTCTGCGTTTTGCTGGACAAAAGCGAAAGTCCGTGCTAGCAGGATAAACTCTAGTTCTCGATTCCAAAATGTACTGTTCCAACACAGCGTGAACCAGCTGAAAAATGGCTACAAGCTGTCTTTCTCTGTTCAGCAGAAGGAAGAAAAGATCTAAACAAAAAGGAAAGCAAGATAATTTCACCTTATCCCTTGAAGTGAGAGAGCAACCGGGCCCAACCACAGAGACAAAAAATTGCAAAAACCTAGAACTGTCACCGCCTGGCACAGTTTTTACTTTCGACAACAAGTTCAACGTCAGTGCCAACTGCTCTTCTATTCAGAGAAACGCTCTAAAGGAGATGGAACCAGGCAGTCCTTCCCCACGGATACTTCTTCCTATTATAGTGGTTTTCTCGGACCAAAGCTATGAAAACGAACAGTAACTCAGAGATCATAGAAAAGGATCAAAAGAGCACTAAAAGATTATGTAATCAACCATTATTTCGGGCATACGAAAATCAATGCTACATGGACGCAGAGCGAAAATATGATATAAAATGGGAATGTTTTGAGTTAGAGACTGTTTTCAAAGTAGGGTGAACAGCTGTCGTATTTTATTGTAACTGCCAATGCTGATACCTCAATTACATAACTTATGACTGACAAAGAAAGGTCAGCTCTATTTGCTTCTTTTTTTTTTCATT